AGCTGTCTGTGCCTGGGACCGGACTTGGGTCAGGGAGATCCCAGCTCCTTCTTGTGATTTGGGGTCAGGCTGTCAACCTGTTTAAGCATCCATATTTTAATTTCTGAAGTGAGGCTAACATCGTGACTACGTTATGGTGGTGGCGTGGAGATGAACTGGGGTGTGTAAACTTTGCTTACTGAACCTGTGCTCAACTGTCATTTCTTTTTCTTTTTTTAAAAAAAATTTTGAGGGACCAGCAGTTAGTGTAATGGCTATGTCGCGGGACTCCCATGTAGTTGACTGCGGTTCGCGTCCCGGACCCGGCGACTTGAAACTCACGCCAGGCATGTGCATGCGTGCCCAAGGTCCCGAGAGGAGAATGGAGGAGAAGGGATTGCGGCGTGGACATTACCCCCTGGGGGGTGATTTCTCGCTTTCTGTCTCTCTGTCTCTGTCTGGCGAGCGCACACGAAAATTTTTGAGAGATTTTTGCTATAGGGTGCGTGCACTGCCAAGAGAGATAGAGACAGAAAGGGAGAAATCACCACCAGGGGGGATGGTCAAGCTGTAATCCCGTTTCCTCCATTCTCCTCTGGGGATTTTCGCAAACACACACACACACACACACACACACACACACAGAGTGAGTTGTTTCAGGTCGTCAGGTTCAAGACTCACCACGGTTGGCCACGTGGGAGTACAGTGCCTTAATCACTATACCACCTGCTGGCCCAGTGTCATTTCATTTAAAAATTATTCTCCGAGCCAGCAGGTACCTTGGTGGTTGAAGGCACTGAGCTCTCACATGGTCGACCAGGTTCAGGTCCCAGACCTAGTGGTTTGGTTTCTCACTTCCTTCTCTCTCTTTCTCTCTGATAAAATTGGAAAATAATAATAATAAAGTTAAATAAAGTAATTTTAAAAATAAGTAAAAAAGCAACACTGCTTGAATAAAACACACACACACACACACACACACACACACACACACACATGTATCTAATTCTCTGGGATCAGTAGGTGGCATAGCAGTTGAGTCACTGGACTCCCACATGACCTGCCAAGATTCAAGTCGCAGACCTGGTGGCTTGAAAATCACACCAGGTGTGTGCGTGAGGGCCCAAGATCCTAGGAGGAGAATGGAGGAGGCGGGATTGTGGCATAGCCATACCTCCTGGGGGTGATTTCTCACTTTCCCTCTCACTGTGTCTGTCTGTCTCTGTCTCTGTCTTGCCAGTGAGTGCATGCATCCTAAGGCAAAAACCTCTAAAGAAAACCAAAAATCATTCCCTTAGTCATTCAGGCATTGTTGACACTCACCAACTTCACTGCCTCACCTCCCATTAGCTCCTGAAATGTAATGGAGGTGAGGCAGTGAAGTCTCTCACCTCCCATTGAATTTGTATTTTTGTTTAGTTTTTGCTATAAGGTGTATGTGTTCACCAAAAAGAGACAGAGAGGAAAGTAAGAAATCACTCCTCCAGAAGGAATGGCCATGCCATAATCCCTTCCACATTCTCCTCTCCGGATTTTGGGCACACACTCTTAAATGCCTGGCATGATTTTAAAGCAACTAGGTTCTGGACTCCAACCATGGATCTGGCCATCTGGGATCCATCACCTTAATAACCATGCTACCTGCTGGCCTGAATTTAATGTTTGTCCCTATTAAATGCTCACTAAGTTGGCTTGAAAATAAATTGGTGACTATGAATGATTAGCTCCTGGGGGTGGCAGGTGATACAGTGGTTAAGGTGCTGGACTCCCACATGGCCGACCATGGTTCAAGTCCTGGACCTAGAGGTTTGCTTTCTCAGTCTTCCTCCTTCTCTGGTCAAAATTAAAGAATATGAATGATTAGCTCATTTAAACCCAAACTTCCTTTGCAGAGATCAGCAGTGGCTTTGTTTAGTTCAATCAAAGTTATTTAACATTCAGTGAACTCTCTCTGTCCTCCAACCTTCTACTTTCCCCATGTTGAAAATCTCAAAGTCACTAACAGTCCTGGCCTCCAACCCATGGCTGGACCGTTAAGTAACCTAGAAATAAAATTATCTTTTCAAAGTCGCTGGTGATTGGGTGTATGTTATAGCAACTAATTAATATAGCCCTTTGACAAAAATAGGATTACTATCTATTTGAGCTCTGGCAGAACAAACAGCCAGGGAGAATTTGGTTATAAGCAAGAGAAAGCTATTTACCCTGACTTTATGAGGGCACAGTGAGCAAAATAGGCAGTGAAACTGTCTTAGTTTGGGTGACCATAACAAATATACAACAGACTGGGTGACTTCAACAACAAACCTTGTTTCTCACAGTTCTGGAGACTGGAAAGTCCAAAAACAAGGGACAGAAATTTCTGGTCTCCAGCGAAGACATTCTGGGTGTCCATGCTGGCTTCTAGTTGTGTTCTCACATGGTAAGGAGCAGAGAGAGCTGAGATCCAGTTCTTGTGTCTCCTATAAAGATACTAATCGCATTCCTGAGGGTCACAGGTTATCACCATTGTTAACCGTTACACCTTGCATTTGCTAGGCAAAATCGTTCTATGGGATAGTTATTATTACTCTCATTAACAGATGAGAGGAAACTTAGACTTAGCAAGATTAAGTAATTTTTCTAGGACAAACAGTTAGCAAATAGCTGGGTTTAGATTTGATCTCAGGAAATTTGACTCTATAAGTGCCTTGAACTAATACTTTTTTGCCTCCTAAGATGAAAAATGAATATTAGTACATGCCTGATTCACAGTAACAATTATTTATGTTAAATATATGTATAGCATGAGGACACATGCACTTGCCATAGAGAGATAGAGAAAAGTGAGAAAGCAATCCCTATGGGGAATGGTTATACTGCAGTCCCTTCCCCATTTCTCCTTCCTTTAAATATTTTGGGCACACATGCACATGTACCTGGTGTGTTTTACATTTCTCTCTCTCTTTTTATTTTTTAAGAGAGAAATTGTGCTATAGGGTGTGTGTGCTTGCTAGAGAGACAGAGAGACAGAAGGCGAGAAATTACCCCCCCAGCAGGGGATGGCCATGCCACAATCCCTTCTCCTCCATTCTCCCCTCGGAATTTTGGGCACACATGCACACACACCCTGCATGAGTTTGAAACCACTGGGTCCGGGACTCAAACTATGGTCGACTATGTAGGAGTCCAGCAATGTAACCACTGTGGCATCTGCTGGTCTCCCTGGCATGTTTTTCAATCTACCATGTTCAGGATTCAAATTGTGGGATCCAGCCAATTTAATCACCACACCTCTAGTTGGTCCATACATCGCGTTTTTTAGAAAATAAGCTTACGGAGGCCAACAGGTGGCATGGTTGTTAAGGCGCTGGACTCCCACACGGTTGACCTGCAGTTTAAGTTTTGACCCTATGGCTTGGAAATCACACCAGAGCATGTGTGCCTGTGTGCCCAAAATCCTGAGAGGAGAATGGGGGAGAAGAGATTGTGGCATGGCCATCCCTCTAGAGGGTGATTTCTCACTTTCCCTCTCTGACAAGTGTATGCACCTCATAGTGAAACTAAAAAGAAAAAATAATAGTCTTGCAATTTCCTTTTCCATGAACTTTTTGTTGCTTCATTCATGATAGAATGTGTGCTGTTCATGTGTATGTGAGATGAGGACAAATTAGGGAGAGAGAAGAGTACCCTCCAGTGTCTGGTCATGCCATGATCCCCTTCCTCTGGTCCTCCAGCCCACTGAATCCTGGGTACTCACATATGTGCCCTGCATGTTTCTGGCTGACTGAGCTGGATTTGACATGCAGTCCTGTGGGATCCAGCTTCTTTTGAGCTGTGTATTACTGCTGCACCACGGATCTGGCTTTATGTTGTTGCTTATTAGCACTGAATGTGACCAACAGTGCTGTAACTCATGCCAGAACTAAGTTTATCTAACATGCTATTACATCTTTTCTGTAAGGTACATTATTGTCCAAGCATTCTTGTACTTACAACACTAGACAGAACTTAACACTACACTTAGAGGCAATTTTTTTTTAAGGGATTTTTGCTGTAGGGTGTGTGCAATCACCAGAGAGACTGAAGGTGAGAAATCACCCTCCACACACTCACCTTGGTGGGAGGGTAGGATGGCCATGTTGTAATCCCTTCTCCTCCATTTTCCTCTTGGGATTTTGGGCCACACACACAAGCACCTGGCTTAAGTATTTTGTTTTGTTTTGTTTTGAAGAGGTATTTTTGCTACAGAGCATGTGCACTCAGCAGAGACTGAGAGACAGAAAGCAAGAAATCACCTCCCCCCCAGGGGGGATGGCCATGAAGCAATTGCTTCTCCTCCATTCTCCTCTGGGTATTTTGGATAACACGATGAGCGTGAGTTTTAAGCCGGGTCTGGAAATCAAACAGCTGCCCACTCCGTGGGAGTCCAGCGACATAACCATTATGCCATCTGCTTGTCCCAGGAGGTTGATTTTTTTGACTTGTTAGGGTCCTCTTGCCCCAGCCTGTTATAGGTTGGGCTTGGATGTCGCAGGGCTTCCCATGTGACTTCATTGTCCATAGCTGCATCTTAGCAGCATGCAGTCACCGCCTGAGCTTGACCCTATGAGTTTTTTAACACACAGGTCGATTCTCCTAATTACCACCACGTACAGGATACAGAACTCAGCACTCCAGAGAACTCTAAATCCTGTTTCTGACCAACCCCTCCTCTCAATCTTAGGTCCTACTCCAGGCTTACTTGCTCTCATTGTAGAGAACCTAAACACTGGTCCAGAGATAGGAAGTAGCTGACATCGGGTTAGAAGGTGTTTTTCCCCAAAGTGAACTGCAGGTCAAAAGTCAGCAAACACCCGGAGTAATCAGAACAGAGGCTGGGTGATTCTTCCCACCAGCTAAGGGCCGCGCAGGCGCCTGAGCGTGCTCTGTCCGGCGCACTCAGGGCCGGCTCCTCCGCCCATCGGATGTTCCTCCCAAGCCCGCCTCTCCCCGTGCCCCGCCCCATCCCTCCCTGGTCCCGCT